TTGAGATTATTTTAATAAATAAATTTGCCATAGACAATGTAAGCAATTTGTGGTCAAAGCTGTTATTTAATAGAGAACATAGATTAACAGAAAGAACTCTCCAAGGAAATGAGCAATGTGATAGTTGGTTACAGAGTTCAGTCAAGTGAGTACATTCACAAAGTTCAGTGATGAATCCGTCCTGACAGTTGTCAGTGACTAATATTCTGAATGTTTTTCTGTAGAAGTGACATTTAGTAGAGTCTTTCTCTTTGTATAAAATCTTTTAATAGCAAATGTTTATGGGAAAATGAAATGTTTATGGGAAACTGATCAAGGCACCATGCTTTGCTTCTCAGCAATTTCTGTTCAGGCCCAGTCTTACACAGCAGTTGGCATTCTAACAAATTCATAATGGTTTTATTAAATTCCTGTGTCTGCATCATTGTTCTTGTTATTTGCATGCTAGTTGTAGGAGTACACATGAGTTTATTTATGTATTGGCTTGCAAGGAATTTATTTCAAAATAGAATAGTAGAAGAGCTCGCTGGAATTCACAAAGCCATGTTCTCACTTTCCTTTGCCCTATTATTTCCTACACTATAACTGGAATCTGAAATATAAAACTGTAACTTAAAAGCATTAGGCAATTATCAGCTGTTGCTACTGATAGTTCTGTTTTAAAATAGAAACCAGAAATGGAAGATACCTATTAAACAACTACCACATCTGGAATGCAAATGACACCAGCAATGAAAGTCAACAGTGAAATATTTGAAGTATGTATAAGCAGCATAGATGACTTAAGCAAGTGCTTTTTTCAAACTGCATAAGCTATTATAAGTACCGTACTTTGTATGAATGAGTTAGTAAAGCATAGCAAGAAGAAACATATTTTATAATCTTGGACACAGTTTATATGTTAAATTATGAAAGTCACTAGGAATTCCAATTTACTTATTTATTTTTTATGTATTTAATTTGTATGGCCAGTCATCTCAAACAGGTGATTCTGGAAGGTAAACAATCATAAAATCAATTAACACCAATTAAAATCATGATACAGAATGAAAAATTGTTATGTTTGACTCAGGTGACATCAAAAATACAAACCCATACTTCAATTACTGAGAGACAGAGTTACTATTATCCAAATCTAAGGACAATCAAATTATAGCAAATCTTGAGAAATGCAGATGTTTGCAAGCTCAAACATAAAGCTGTACTCCTTAACAGCTGGTCTTCTCACAAGTTAATAGGGGATAGAATCTTACAAAAATAACTTTTACGTGTAAGAATTAGTAACTAATGGTCATTCATTAAAACATAGGTGATATTTCAGGGTACCTGGATCCAACAGCCCTCAGTTCTGATTAGTTAGTAATTGTGGTCTGCTAAGCCATGGTTTGCTTGACACACAGCTGGACTCTGGCACAGTGACTGGTCCCAAATGATTGTGAGCCATCCAGAATTACTTAACATGAGCAGCCATATAAAATTTTTAAATCAACTAACCAACCAACCAATTAATCACCCATAGCTTCCATAGCTCAGGATAAACATGGAGTTGGGTCTTTGTTCTGCCAGTCTAGAACCTTAAGCATTACTACATCATTATTTGGAGAATTTATTATTTAATTCAGGGAAGCTTGGAACAGCTTACTCCACCCGATTTAATTCTTGTTGTTAAGAAAATACGAAGTTAAATTCAAAGATATTGTCCAAGGGAAAGCTTAAAAGTTGTTATAAATATACACGTTGTGAGCCATTGTGTGAAATCTTGAGACAACATTATTGATGGTCTTTCTTTGACTTATGTTCTTTAGTCCCACCAATTGTTTACTATATTTCACTTTATTTGAGACCTTGTTGCTATAAGTAGTAAATAAAACAGAAGTCTGTTTTCTGAAAGTGGTAAATGTTAACCCACTGTAAGTGTTTATTTGGTTCTGTGTATCTTACATGGGACTAAGGGTTTAGTGAATGCAGTTCATTATGCAAAGTTTGCAAGATTGGTATATAATTTTTGTTGCTGTTTTTGTCCCTTTTCACTTAATTGAATTATACTTAATGTAAGTTTATGCTAGAATACTTTATTTTTTTAGGATGACCAAAACCTTGTGTTTTTCTTAAAACAAGAAGGCACATAACCACTCTCATAATTCTTATCTGACAGCAATGTTTCTTTTTTCTAAAAGTCACCTCTGATTCACTTTATATCCTTTCCATACTGCCAGTGTGTTTCTCTTGTTCAAGCTCCCAATGTACTCATCGTTGCTCTGTCTATATAGTAAGAGTTCTATAATAGAAGTCATCATTTCAGCAGTGTGACTTCTTTGTATGTGTAATTTTTACAGCCCTCCATAGACATTTCAAAATGTCTTTAATCGAGGACCTGTATACTGCATGAGTCAAAAAGAGGGCTGTGAAAATATTTACAGACCCCTCACATCCTGGACGTAAACTGTTTCAACTCCTTCCCTCAAAATTACACTATAGAGCACTGCACATCAGAACAACTAGACACAAGAACAGTTTCCCCCCAAAAGCCGTTACTCTGCTAAACAAATAATTCCCTCAACACTATTCAACTACTGTGTTTCTCACAAAATAAGGCCGGGCCTTATTTTTTTTTGACCCCCGAAAAAACAGCTAGGCCGTCTTTTCGGGGGTGACTTAATTCCCCTCCCTTACATCCTTGGTGATGGCTTGGATGTTGACCTCGGCATTGGTGGGGCGCTTCATATCGGGAGACCTTCCGCCACCGTTGCTTTCCCTTCTCCCCATGCTGCCGTGGCATTTAGAGCAATGCCGCGGCGTTTGGCACAGCCATGTGCAGCCAGCCAGGGCTTCTCCCTGCAACTGGAGCCCGGTGGAGACACTTGGCTTCAGGCGCTCCTGTCTCCGCCTTCCCTTCGCCTTCGAAGGCAAAGCCAATTCTTTTAAAAACAATGCCCTACTACCGGTACGACAAAGACTCCCCTGCCCAAGAGGGCAGCCCAACCCCATGTGGGGAGCGAATCTCCCAGGGCTGCAGAGCAGGATCGGCCCACCCCGGGAGAAGCGCCCAGCCTCCATCCCTGCCTGGCGCCGGACAGAGCGTGAAGAGCTTCACCTGGAGCGCCCAGAGAGGCTGACAGGCAGGCCCTCCTGCCCGGCGGCGGAGATCTCGCTAAGGCAACGAGCGCCTCCCTGCCGGGCCCTCTGCTCATCCCGCCAGGGCCGCGCCAGAACCCTGCAGGCTGGGCAGAGCTGGGAAGCAAGCTGCGGGTGCGTGCCTGCCTGCCAAGCGAAAGAGCTGGGCCGCCCCGAGCTTGGCTTCCTTCCCAAGTCCCTCCAGCCTGAACCTGAAGGGGCCACTGGGAGAGGCTGCCCAAGACAGTGATAGCGCCCACCCATCCATGGACAAGGAGGCAAGGCAACGGCCTGCACTGCGTCCTCCTCAGAGCTGAGCCCCACCGAGTGAGCGCCTCTGCCCGATACTTGTGCCGCTGCAGCATTTGGAGCTGCCAGTGCATTTGGAGGTACGTGGGGAAGGGGCGGGTCGGGCAAGGGGTGAAAAGGATAGGTGGCTTTGGGCTCTGTCCACCGGACCTGCCAGCCAGGGAAGCAGCGCTGCCATCACCTCACCTTCCTATCTGTGGACAGGTGGGTGCTATCACTGCCTCGGGCATCCTCTCCTGGTGGCCCCTTCAGGTTTGGGCTGGAGGGACTTGGGAAGGAAGCCAAGCTCGGGTCGGCCCAGTTTGTTCGCTTGGCAGGCGGGCGCACACTCGCGGCTAGCTTTCCCAGCTCTGCCCAGCCTGCACAGCTCTGGCGCGGCCCTGGCAGGATGAGCGGAGGGCCCGGTGGGGAGGTGCTCACTGCCTTAGCGAGAGCTCCACCACCAGGCAGGAGGTCCCGCCTGTCAGCTGCGCTGGCGCCCCAGGTGAAGCTCTTCATGCTCTGACCGGTGCCAGGCAGGGATGGCGGCTGGGCACTTCTCCCAGGGTGGAACGATCCTGCTCTGCAGCCCTGGGAGATTCGCCTCCCCACGTGGGGTTGGGCTGCCCTCTCGGGCAGGGGAGTCTTTGTTGTACTGGTAGTAGGGCGTCATTTTTAAAAGAATTGGCTTTGCCTTTGAAGGCGAAGGGAAGGGGGCGACAGGAGCGCCTGAAGCCGAGTGTCTCTGCCAGGCTCCGGTTGCAGGGAGGAGCCCTGGCTGGCCACGTGTGGCTATGCCAAATGCTGCGGCGTTGCTTTAAAAGTTGCGGCAGCACAGGGAGAAGGGAAAGCAACGGTGATGGAAGGTCTCCCGATACGAAGTGCCCCACCAACGCAGGCAGCACCATATCTGGGTATGCAACAAAAGTACTTCCTAATGGCAAGCCCCCCCACCATTCCCCCCATTTCGCATGTTTAATATAGGCCTTAATTTGGGGGGAGGGGCTTAATTTGATTTTATGCCTATAAAACATGCTGGGATTGGGGGAGTCCGTATTGTTGGAGAAACACGGTATTACAAAGTCTGCACTACTATTACTGTTAATCTTCTCATCACTCCTTATCACCCATCTCTTCCCACTTGTGACTGTAACTTTGTCGCTTGTACCCTTATGATTTATATTGATTGTTTCCTAGTATGATTTGATTGCTTATTGTACCCTATGACTATCATTAAGTGTTGTACCTTATGATTCTTGACTCTTGATGAATGTATCTTTTCTTTTATGTATACTGAGAGTATTTGCACCAAGACAAATTCCCTGTATGTCCAATCATACTTGGCCAATAAAGAATTCTATTCTATTCTAAAAAAAAAAAAAAAAAAAAACCATTGAAATATATGGCAAATGACAAAGCAAACAAAACTGTCTTACTGGAACAAACAGTTGTGTGACTTTTTTTCCAAATGCCCTACACAAACATGGCTAATCACTTTTTTAAACTGTTTCAGAATAGGACATTTTAGAGATTTCCTTATGAAATTTATATCTGTCACAATCCAAACATTCTCTTAGCATCCCACAGTAGTTATAAGGATGGGGACGAGCACCAAAAGTAAAACATCCATGGTAAAATCTAAAATAATATAATAAACAAAATCCTGACCTCAGTAATTCAAGATCATAAATCATACATACACATCCTATTATTCACCCTAGACTCTATGGAGCAACTTTATTTTCAAAACTTTCAAGACAGCCAAAGCTATAACGGCCAACTTGATTCCTCATGGGAAATTATTCCACAGCAGTGCCAATGAGCCTCCATTCCATATCCATTCAACTGCTTGTGACTGGGAATCACCATAAGTTTCTAAGTTTCAGTAGAACATGCAAGCTAGATGTGCTGCCTGTAAGTATCTGGTATAGCAACCAAACAGGACAGGTACAGACTTTAACGGATAGTTAGGACTGCATAAAAAAGAATTGCAACCAGCCTGCCTTCAATTGAGAATCTGTATACTGCATGGACCAGAAAGAGGGCAGAGAAAATATCTACAGACCCCTCACATCCTGGACATAATCTATGTTGATGTCTTCCATCAGGATGCTACTATAATAGAGCATTGCATGCCAAAACAACTAGACACAAAGATAGTTTTTCTTCCCGTGCCATCACTCTGCTAAACACATAATTCTATTCTGTTCTGTTCTATTCAAGTAGTTTGGCTAAAAAATCAAAATAAAGCAAGAAAATTATTTATTAATGTTGGCAATCCATTGATTTATTTTCATTGCTTCTTCTAGTAACCAAATGACATCTACATAAATGGATATAATCAGAAATAATATGTGTAGCTCAAATTGACTCTTCTGTAGTACTAATAATCAAAGTATAATCAAAGTCTTTCTTAGTGATATATTTGAAAAGTTCAGTTTTAATGGCAAAGACGAGGCCAAGGAAACAGTGGAAGAGATAGCAAACCACTCATGTGCAAGTTTCAAATCAAGCTAAAGCAGCAGAGAAAAAGGCCACTGTTTCATATCTCCAAAGATCTGGCATTTAGAGGCATTATCAACAGAGTTATAAGAATTAATACATGACAATTATGCTGATTGGCTTCTTTTCCATGAAAGAGAAAAGTCACCCAAATTATTGGAAGGTTGCAAAAATCATCCAAGCAGCCAACAATGAAAATTCAAACAACTGCATTAGATTCCCATTTCTAAAAAAAAGTCAGTTTAAGCTAATCATACATTTCTGAATGACTAGTTATATTATTGGGATGGGAAGGATAGACAGAGTTTATTATGGTGACAGACAAGAATTCAAAATAAAACACAGTAAAAATAAATTCAGCATAAATTCACAAAACAGAATGGGGATACTATAATTGTCAGTGGACTTACTGGTGGGCAGTGTCTAATTTTACATGCAGTATAAAAATTAGATATGTTCAAGGAAAGTAAATCCTTCTGATTTGATAATAAGTCTATCTTCTCTCTCTCTCTCTCTCTCTCTCTCTCTCTCTCTCTCTCT